CATATTTATTGCTTGATTAAATTATATATTTAAATAATATTTTCATTACAATAATGACATTATTATTATTATTATTACACGGAGGTTTAATTGTAATATTATATTACATGTAACACATGACACTATTCAAGAAATAATTACGTCCCACAAATAAGGTCGCATCATCAAGGTCCGAGAACACACACTTCAGTCATGCGTTAAACGACTCTATGTTCATCCTCGTCTGACCTTTAAAGTTCCCCGCCTTCAAACCTTACTGATTATAGTTCAATGTCGCTCTCAAGACACTGAGAGACAATTGAGACAACTTTAAAACAACTTTAAAACTTTCAAGACATTGAGACAACTTTCAAACACAACAAGTTTCTTGTGTTTGTCAAGCCAACATGCCAGCATAAACCAACAGTCAAGAATCAAGAGACCAGAAGGAACCAACAGATCAGACCCCAAGAGGCTTCAAGGAACCAACAGATTAGACCCCAAAAGGCCTCAAGGAACCAACAGATTAGACCCCAAGAGGCTTCACGGAACCAACAGATTAGACCCCAAAAGGCCTCAAGGAACCAACAGATTAGACCCCAAGAGGCTTCAAGGAACCAACAGATTAGACCCCAAAAGGCCTCAAGGAACCAACAGATTAGACCCCAAGAGGCTTCACGGAACCAACAGATTAGATCCCAAGAGGCCTCAAGGAACCAACAGATTAGACCCCAAGAGGCTTCACGGAACCAACAGATTAGACCCCAAGAGGCCTCAAGGTACCAACAGATCAGACTCTTAAGAAATCAGAAACCAAAAGCCAGGAGAGACCGAGGGACTTTCTACAGAGTGAGTTGATGGCCAAGACTCAGCAACGCAGTGGGACGGAAAAACACTCTCGCTTCGCCTTGGTATCCGGCCGCTGAGACGCACTTGGTACGCCTTGGTATCCGGCCGCTGAGACGCACTTGGTACACCTTGGTATCCGGCCGCTGAGACGCACTTGGTACGCCTTGGTATCCGGCCGCTGAGACGCACTTGGTACACCTTGGTATCCGGCCGCTGAGACGCACTTGGTACGCCTTGGTATCCGGCCGCTGAGACGCACTTGGTACGCCTTGGTATCCGGCCGCTGAGACGCACTTGGTACGCCTTGGTATCCGGCCGCTGAGACGCACTTGGTACGCCTTGGTATCCGGCCGCTGAGACGCACTTGGTACGCCTTGGTATCCGGCCGCTGAGACGCACTTGGTACGCCTTGGTATCCGGCCGCTGAGACGCACTTGGTACACCTTGGTATCCGGCCGCTGAGACGCACTTGGTACGCCTTGGTATCCGGCCGCTGTCTCTTTCCCAAACAATTTTACTTTAGTGGTTTCTTGATCCATTACATATTCTATTTTTCTTTCTCTATAGGTCTTCTTAATACCAATCCGGCTCCTCCTCCTTCTCCTCTTCCTCCTTCTCCTCCTCCTCCTTCTCCTCCTCCTCCCTCTCCTCCTTCTCCTCTTCCTCCTCCTCCTCTTCCTCCTCCTCCTTCTCCTCCTTCTCCTCTTCCTCCTTCTCCTCTTCCTCCTCCTCTTCCTCCTCCTCCTCTTCCTCCTCCTCCTCCTCCTCCTCTTCCGCTGTCAAATTCTCCTATTCCTCCACTTCCTTCCCCTCCTCTCTTCCCTCCGCCTTTTGCGGTCAAATTAACAAAGTTGGCGTGAGAGCTTTTGTGGCAGCGGGTAACCAAGGCGGTGGTTGAGGGGATGGGGGAAAGGGGGTGGAAGGGAGGGGGCTGATGTGGTGAAGGTGGAGGTGAGTGGGGGGGGGGATAGGCTGTGGAGGGGGCACTGGTGGGTGATGGGAAGACAGGTGATGGTGGAAGAGAGAGAGAGGTGTGGGAGGGATAGTGGAAGACAGGAGGGGGAAGTGTGGGTAAGCATGTGGGGGAGGGGGAGGGGGAAGGAGGGGCAGTTGAAGGGGGAAGAAGAGAGAACAAAGCTGCAGGAGACACACGGGATGCCGAAGGAATTGCGCAAAGAATAGGCAAAAAGCCAGGAAGGAGAAAGGGGGGAAAATGAACACATGGATAAAAAATGAATACAGAAGGAGAAACGGCAGAAAAAACAGCTGACGATGAGTGAGAGGGGAAACATGTGAAAGGGAAGTAAAACAGGGAAGGAAGAGGGAAAAAATCGCGAGGAATAGTGCCTATAAACTTGAACCTGATAAAAAAGGGGCATTATAAAGGGGCTCATGGAAAAAAAGGGGGAATATCAGATGATAAGGAAAAGAAAAGGAAACAAGGAGTTAAGTATTGAAAGGGCCACCTGTCCCAAAAACTAAACTCCCTATAACGCGCCGGCAAGAGGCAATGCAGCATCAGAAAGATTGCTTATTGCATATGCAAGATCCCGTATGAATGTTTTGTATATTCTTACAGGTGTAATAGTTCACTGTTACACCTGTAAGAAGCAACACTGCTCATACAGTTCTATTAAACAACTGAATAAAACATTTGGAAAAATCACTTTCAATAAAACACCTGTAAGACACAGGTCAGTTCACTTTCATCATCACTACACAATACTGCAACAATAAAAAAAAACATGTGTTGAATTCAATAAAAAAAAGGGTTGAAGACGCAGGAGGATGTTGTTGTTGTTGTTATAGATTCAGCTATTCGGAACAAGTTCCAAGTAGCACGGGCTATGGTGAGCCCGTATTGGATTTACCTGGCACAGGAGCGGGACAAGTAGCACGGGCTATGGTGAGCCCGTAACTTACCTGACACAGGAGCGCGGCAAGTAGCACGGGCTATGGTGAGCCCGTAGTGGACTTACCTGGCACAGGAGCAGGGCAAGTAGCACGGGCTATGGTGAGCCCGTAGTGGACTTACCTGGCACAGGAGCGGTGCTGTGTCTGTGTTCAACGAAGGAGGACGAGGAATTTAACTGCTATCGACTCTGTTCTTAAAATTAAAAATACTAAATTTTGCTAAGGATCAAGTAAGTGAATGTTAATTACATTCGAATGTGGGACATTTCAGAATTTTTTAAGATTCCTGTAGCTTTATTTACAAATTATCAATTACATTAACGATTATAATGCAATTTTTGTGTGTTCATTTGGGAAAATCTACCTCTCGTTACTCATGATTTGATTGGCTGCTGTTACTTCTTCATCTAAATGCCGATTGGTTGCGTTTTTTTGCAAGTTAATGGTTCTTTTAAGTTTCATGTTTAATGGCCATTGTAAGTAGATCGTTCCCTTTGTTATTCTCCATCTCGGAACAGGGCAATTTCTAAAAAATATTACTGTGATTGGCTGGGTTGCAAGCTGGGGGGGAGGGGAGGGTAGAGGGGGGATAAGAACGGAAGTAGCTGATTGGCTACCGAAAATAAACAAAGGAGGTGATTGGCCAGACGTCACCGTAACCTTGGCAACGGAGTATCCCCCGCCCCCTCCCACCCCGCGTTTTCCCAGGAAAAGGTAGATGCCTTACGCTCTTACATTCTGGCCGCTAATTTACTAAGAGACCACTATCCACAATTACACTACTCTCCGGATAATGCAATCGCCACCGAGGAACGTAATTACGTCAAGATATCCGGCGGAAATGATGCGGCGAGGGCATAACATGGCGGGGGCGACGGGCGGGACATTGGCGCCAAAGTTGCCTCCTGATGCGCCTGCGCCAACGCTCACGTGGTCGATAATTCGCGGGTGAATAACGTGGTGTTATTTATGCGTGTTCCCCTGACCTCAGACTCGTGAGACCGGACATTGGGCGTCGTAGGAGCACTGGGGATGGGGGTGAGCGGGAGGAGCAAAGCGGAAACGGGAGGGAGAAGAGAGAGGGAGGGAGAGGGAGAGGGTGAGGGGGAAGAGAGAAAACGGAGACTTGCTTTTGTTTACCTCCTTAGCTTGTATCCCTGAATTCGTTCTCATGGAAATATTATAAAATATATATATATATATATATATCGTACCTAGTAGCCAGAATGCACTTCTCGGCCTAGTATGCAAGGCCCGATTTGCCTAATAAGCCAAATTTTCCTGAATTAATATATTTTCTCTATTTTTTTTCTTATAAAATGATAAAGCTACCCATTTCATAATGTATGAGGTCAATTTTTTTTATTGGAGTTAAAATTAACGTAGATATATGACCGAACCTAACCAACCCTACCTAACCTAACCTAACCTATCTTTATAGGTTAGGTTAGGTTAGGTAGCCGAAAAAGTTAGGTTAGGTTAGGTTAGGTTAGGTAGGTTAGGTAGTCGAAAAACAATTAATTCATGAAAACTTGGCTTATTAGGCAAATTGGGCCTTGCATAGTAGGCTGAGAAGTGCGTTCTGGCTACTAGGTACGACATATATATATATATATATATATATATATATATATATATATATATATATATATATATATATATATATGCGAACAAGCCTGAATGGTCCCCAGGACAATATGCAACTGAAAACTCACACCCCAGAAGTGACTCGAACCCATACTCCCAGAAGCAACGCAACTGGTATGTACAAGACGCCTTAATCCACTTGACCATCACGACCGGACAAAATGAGGTGATAGCCGAGGCTATTTGAACCACCCCACCGCCGGCACTCGGATAGTAATCTTGGGCATAGCATTTTACCAAATCACCTCATTCTCGGTGCCTCGGCTATCACCTCATTTTGTCCGGTCGTGATGGTCAAGTGGATTAAGGCGTCTTGTACATACCAGTTGCGTTGCTTCTGGGAGTATGGGTTCGAGTCACTTCTGGGGTGTGAGTTTTCAGTTGCATATTGTCCTGGGGACCATTCAGGCTTGTTCGCATTTGTGTTCCTCACGTGTGCCCCAAAGAATGAGGTGATTTGGTAAAATGCTATGCCCAAGATTACTATCCGAGTGCCGGCGGTGGGGTGGTTCAAATAGCCTCGGCTATCACCTCATTTTGTCCGGTCGTGATGGTCAAGTGGATTAAGGCGTCTTGTACATACCAGTTGCGTTGCTTCTGGGAGTATGGTTCGAGTCACTTCTGGGGTGTGAGTTTTCAGTTATATATATATATATATATATCCAACCGAAAACTCACACCCCAGAAGCGACTCGAACCCCATACTGCCAGGAGCACTATGCATCTGTCGTACAGGACACCTTAACCACTCGACCATCACGACCGGACAAAAGATGATTGATAGAAAAGGTCTGGATCTGTTTTACATTTGTCTGCTATACCTTTCTCAAAGTTCCTTTCTGCCTCTCTCCTCACTGTTGTGTAATTGTTTCTTGGTTGCTTGTAGTGCTGGTAAGTGTGTGGGTTTTTGTTTGTGTTTTTTTTTGTTTTTGTTTGTTTGTAAGTTTGTGGCTCTTCCTATATTCAACCCATTTTCTTGTCTTTTCCTCTCTGGCCCTTCTCGCAATTTCTGTTGAACCAATCCTGTTTTCTGGTACTGTATCTCTGTTTTGGTATGAATGTTTGTGTGTGTGTGCGTGCGTGTATGCGTTTGCATGCACGCTTTAAGGCACGCTTTAAATGAATATATTTCACCCTGAATATACACCAACAAAAGTTTTTTTGCTCAACATTACAAAAATTGACACGAACAAATATTATAGTTTTTACCCCATGTAAAAAAAAAAAAATTTTTTTGGCCTCGTGCCAACAACCGGAGTTCTTTACCCTGGGGAAAACTCATCACAATTTCCTTCCGACTTCAACATAAATTATATGACCTCTTGCATTTATTCCCAGAATTTATTCATTTTTTTTTTCTTTTTCTTGCTTCGCTAAATATTAGACTTTTTT